AATCTACCCTTTTGTCTCAATTTTTGAGAATCATCAACTAGTTGTGTTTCTGGTAGAAAACTTTGTTAATGAGTTTGCTGCATGATTATGTTTCAAGGTTTTGAATTATGGAATTCTGATTGCAAACTGTGTTCTAAAACCTTGGTTATGTTAGAAAGTTCTAAGCAATCATAAAACATGCTTATGATGCTAGTGTGATTTGTGGTTTAAACTTGTTTGAAATTTGATTTTTCAGGTATCTGAACCTGAGGATGCTTCTCACAAATATTCTTCAGATGTCATGTACTTCAAACGGTATATCTATCACGAGTACAACTTCACCCTTGGAAATCTGTGGTCTCCATATTTTGTGAGATCCAGTGATGCTGACCCAAAAGGGCATTCCTTCAACAGCATAATGAGACTGTATGTGGATGAGGCAGACGAAGCATGGACCAGTGAGGTTGAGAAGTTTGACATTGTGATAATCTCATCAGGGCAATGGTTTTTCAGGCCTCTGCTGTTCTATGAAGAGGGTAAGCTTGTGGGATGCAACAAGTGTGGGATGGAGAATGTGACAGACCTGACACACCTCTTTGGATACAGGAAGGCATTCAGGACAGCATTTAGGGCACTGAATGATCTAGAAGGGTACAAGGGGGTGACATTTTTTAGGACATTCTCCCCAGCACACTTTGAGAATGGGGATTGGAACAAGGGAGGGAAGTGTGTGAGGACTAGGCCATTCAGCAAACAAGAAATGAAGCTTGATGGATACATTCTAGACATGTATATGACACAAGTGGAGGAGTTTGTAGAAGCACAAAGGGTAGCAAAAGAGAGGGGGTTGAATTTTGTGATGATGAACACAACTGAGATTATGCTTCTTAGGCCTGATGGACATCCCAACAACTATGGACATTCTCAGGACAAAAATGTGACACTGAATGACTGTGTTCACTGGTGTTTGCCAGGGCCAGTTGATACTTGGAATGAGTTTTTGCTGCATATGTTGGATGTAGAAAGTAAGGGATATTATAGTTCAAAGCTGGAGAGAGTTTTTTAAGAGCTTTGGATTTAGCATGTGGAAGATATTGTTAACCATGTGGAGATACTTTTTTTTGTTTTGTTTTTGGGTTCAGAGAAGTATATTGTATTTATGTTTTGTAGATGATATAGAATGTATATCCAAAAGGTATTTGTGGACACAAATTGTCTTCATTAGCTGTCATGCATTATGATAAAATGGGCAATATTCATTCATGCCCAAGAACTTCAAATGTATCACAATAATTGCAAGTAAGAAAGTAAGAAAGGCTCTTCTGACTTCACTACAAATATTTGAGTTGCTAATGCTATCATGCTGTTAAAAAGGAAAAAGTTTTTTTAACCATTTTTTTTATAACATATTTTACTATTATTTATGTGATATACTAATAAAATAAAATAATAACACATAATTTATTGTTAAAAAATTATTAATATATCATCGTCTATCTGGTTTAAGTTTTTTCCTTTCTTTTTTTATGGTTTAGGTTTTTTCCTCTTTTTTTTTGTTAAAAATCATATAAAATAAAGATCAAAGACACCTCATGCAAAAATTGTTGGTAAAAGAAGGTTCAACTTAGTAAACTTTAAAAATGAGTTTGAGGCTCAAAATTGTTTGAAATTTTCTTTTTCTATGATAGATAAGATAGGAGAAATTCATTAGTAAAATATGACTTTGTTTATTTAAAAAATCCGTATCACAGGTAACATGTTTGATGTCTTTCCTTACACTTGAAATAAAGTGTCTTCTTAAAAGAAATAGCAATTCATTCTGAGGATCGCAATTTCTATATTACCAATTTTAATGATGAAAAATAATTAATTATTATAGTGATTAATTTATAAATTTATTTATTTAATAATCAAAACTTTAATTGTTAATTTTAAAAATCAGTTTATAAATCAATTATAATTTATTTATAATAATTATTATTTTAATAACTAATAACTTTTAATTTTATAAATTAATATGTAAATTGGTAATTAATTATGATGATGAATCATTTTTTATCACTAAAATTGGTTATCAGTTATATTTTATTTTAGGATAAAATTTATTTGATTAAAGATAAATGTTTTAAATATATTTTATGATAATTAATTATTAAAGAGAGAAATTTACCAAAATTTTAATTAAAGCGTGCCTTTATCACATTAATTTATTTAACTATAAAAGTTAAAGTTTCCACCTTTAGAAGTGATATTGTTTAGAAAAATGCTGAAAAGATAATCTCAAAATGTATGTTATCAAAATAAAATAAATATAAAAAATAAGCATTTTTAACATAAATTTCTCATAACTAAGTTTCATTAAATTTCTCATAACCAAGTTTAGTTAAATTTCTCATAACTAAGTTCCTTTTACACCAAACACTACTTAAATATAAGTATGCTTTCATTTATTTTACTAATGTTATAAAAGTTATCTTTATGAAATTATAAAAGTTATCTTTTCAGTAGCTATCTGATTTTTTGGCAGGTAGATATGACACGGGTCAGGATAAGTGTGAGTATTTCTGATATATATATATATTTTCATTTTGGTTGAATAATGGCTATATCCACATTAATGATTATGTTTATGAGAGTATTTATTAAATAATTTTTTTCATAAAATAAAAATTTAAAGTAAAGGAAATATGATATTAACATAACTTTAATAAAAAGAACATACATGTTCTTTGATGTTGGATAACAATAAAAAAATAAAAATATATAAATCTAATAACTAAATATCAACTAAACTAAAAGGAAATTAGTAACTCTTTTTTTTCTTCCCACCTTTCTTCTAAATTCTAATCCTCCTAGATCATGTTATATAACCCAATTATACTTAAATAAGTGTGTCTAAAACCTTTCTAAATAAAACTATTTTAAAAACAAATGGCTACACAGATCTCAATCAAAAATCACCTCAACTTAGAGACTCAAATTGAATTCTAAAAATCTACCACTTGGGCACAATTCAAGCAACTTTAAGGAGGACTCAAACAGTCTCACAACAACTTACACAAAGCTCTCCAAAATGACCATTTGCACTACAGAACCCCCCAAAACCAAGTTTTCCTTACTTTTTCCCCACTCTCCTTCATTTGAGTTCTAAACAAACAAATTAAACTCTACACAATTTTACCACCATATCAATTCTCACCCAAACTGAAATTTCTCCAATTAAAGTGTTGAACATAACCCAAACTAGTTCATAAACACCCCAACTTCAACAATTCAGTTAACCAACCATTTCTCACCATTCACTACCTTAAACCTCCACTTAACCCCAACACAATTACACCAAGACTACTCCTTGTCCTTAAACAGTTCAATCAACATATTAACTTCATCAACATTAAATCCAATCTCACAAACATACATACAACCGATTCAACATGTTATAACAACATTCATTGTCACTCAAATCATCAACATCACCCAATTAGTTCAATTATCACTAACACACAATAACATTTTTAATCCAAACAGTTTAGTACTCACATACCATTAAACTTATACTACACACTTCAATTAAAAGCAATTATCTAGCTTCCCTTACCTTGAATCAACACCTCCAAAACCTCTAAACGCTCCACAGATTTCTTGCGGCACAAGGAACTTCTAGAAAACCTACAAATCACGGTTTGGTGATTGGAGACTAACCTTAGAACCACAAACAGACTAAGAATCAAGGGAGAGGGATTCTTGACCATGCAAAATAGAACTACTTTACATGATCAAGAACCCTAAACACTAAGGAAAAAGGGGTTTATTACTTACCTGCTCAATTCAACCAATTGATCGATCAGATTGGTAACCCTCAATGCAGAAATCACCTATATATTTCCTGATTGTTGAACAGATAATTGAGGAATAAGAAATTGTAAAGAAAAATGAGAGAACTCAAGAAGGATAGGGTTATAGAGAAAATCACCAATAATTCACATTAACATTAAAATAGAAAATAGAAAATTTTCAAACAAATTAACGTTAATGAGTTAATGAATGAAAGAACAAGTGATGAAGAGTTTAATATTAAGCACGTTATATACAGTACATTCTAATCCACGACATTAATTATAGAAAATGCACATGCATAAAGAATTGAAATTATGAAACCATGAATGATTCACATAATGTAATGTGGATTGCAAGGCATTAGAATTATTATTTTTCACTTTTGAAAAGTCCACATTTAACTTCAGACGAAAGAGATGGAAATTTTCAAAGGTGAATAAATTGATACAATAAATTGCTACAGTATTATTGTGCAGTACTTGTTCATAATTTGAATAGTGATACCCCACACCATAAAGACACCCTGCAAAATGCAGAACCAACCCACCGACATATCATTGTCAACTTTCATACAAATGTTAGAGATGTCTATTAATTACATTGTTCATAGTTCATATTTATTCTTATGATACATTAGATATGAATTAACATTAAAAACCATAAGTTAATTAACTTGTATTTATGAACATGCTATAAAGTAGGTATGATATTAACAACTACTTAGACGGAATATTGAATATGAATTTAACTATGAATGATATTTAATAAGAATGAGTTACTAATTTCCTTTTAGTTTAGTTGATATTTAGTTATTAGATTTATATATTTTTATTTTTTTATTGTTATCTAACATCAAAGAACATGTATGTTCTTTTTATTAAACTTATGTTAATATCATATTTCCTTTACTTTAAATTTTTTATTTTATGAAAGAAATTATTTAATAAATACTCTCATAAATATAATCATTAATGTGGATATAGCCATTATTCAACCAAAATGAAAATATGAATTTATATATATATATATATATATATATATATATATATATATTCCCTTGGTATTTATCTAATTAAGAATATTAGGAGAATAAAATTGGAAGAGTGAAGAGAATAGAAAAAAAATTGAATATTTATCTAATTAAGAATATTAGGAGAATAAAATTGGAAGGGTGAAGAGAATAGAAAAAAATTGAGGTGGTCTGGTGCAGGAGGGAGTGAAATAGAAGCAAAAGTGTGTCTTGTTGTGTAACTTGTGCGAAATAGAGAAAGAAAAACACATGGAGAGCCCACTAGTGTGTGTGAGTGTGTTGGTAAGTCAATACCTCTAACCAGTCACCACGTCTTTCTTCTTTTTTTTTT